TTATTTTACAGTGCAACAATTGGAAGTCTACTTAATTTCAGTAATACCTGCTGGTGTCGGAATTCATCGTCCGATATAAAAAATGGACTAATAAAGGAAGCTAGGAACATCTGGCAAACTAAACTTCCTTCATTCGAAGAACAATTTGAAGTAAAATGTTGCTGTAAACATAAACAAATCTTGGATAATAAATCCCACCCTCTTCATTACAGATAATTAGAATCGGTCTGTTCGGGACGAATCCTTTCTCTGAGGGCGAGGACTCAAAGAGATAACAATTCGTTTGTTCCGAAATCTGTAGGATTTTATCAGCATGCTTTCCCCGAGGTTACAAAATAGAAATGATCTCTGATTGAGTCTCTTTTTAATTATTATAACTAATGGAGGTCGAGAAATAATTTAATTTAGATATCTTGTGTTTAAATTATTTTAGTTGGATGATGTTGACTTTATTTAATTATGTATTTATTTATGTGATGAAAATGTATATCGACAATGCAATAAAAATATTTCAATGTATTTGGATCATTACAAGAACCTTCTCTTCTCTTATGTCTTTAAAGCACTACTGTCGCTAGAACACTACTGTATGTAGACACTGGGCGCCCGCAGGGAGGGGCAAGGGGCGCACTTGCCCCCCCCCCTGGATTGATTGGATAAATTTTTTAAAGATAAAAATAGAAAAAAAATGTATTAAAGTAAAGAGAAAATAAAGAGACAGTAACTAAGCTGATATCCTGTCCGTTCGTTCACCATACAAATACGCTACAGTAAATTAAAACAACATTAAAACATTACTAAAAAATTTTTTGCCCCCCCCCCTCAACTGGAAAGTTAATCGATTATTTTGCACCCTCCCCCCTAGAAAGTTTTCTACAGGCGTCCATGTCTGTAGAGCAATACTGTTATTAGAGCATCACTGTCATTAGAGCATCACTGTCATTAGGACAGAACTGTCATTATAGCACTACTTTCATTGGAACACTACTGTCTATATAAGTCTACTCTATTTAACATTACTGTCATTAGACCATTACTGTCACCAGAACAACACTGTCATTATACCACTACTTTAATTAGAACGTTACTGTATTTAGAGCATTACTGTTCTTACGTCAAAACTGTCACTATAGCACTACTTCCATTAAAGCACTTCTGCATTTTGAGCATTACTGTCATTAGAACATCACTGTTATTAAGAGCACTACCGTCTTTTGAGTTTTATTGTCATTACCACACTATTTTTATTAATGTCTTGCTGTCATTAGAGCACTACTGTCATTAGCTCACTACTGTCATTACAGCACTACTGTCATTAGCGCACTACTGTCATTAGCTCAATACTGTCATTACAGCACTACTGTCATTAGACCAATACTGTCATTAGCGCACTACTGTCATTAGCGCACTACTGTCATTAGAGCACTACTTTCATTAGCGCACTATTGTCATTAGCGCACTACTTTCATTAGAAAGTACAGCCTGCCTTATCAACAGCAGTATGTGTAGGTCTTGTACAGCCTGCCTTATCAACAGAACTATGTGTAGGTCTCGTACAGCCTCCCTTATCAAAAGCACTATGTGTAGGTCTCGTACAGCCTGCCTTATCAACAGCACTATGTTTAGGTCTCTTACAGCTGGCCCTATCAACAGCACTATTTGTAGTCTCGTACATCCTGCCTTATCAACAGCACTATTTTTAGGTCTCTACAGCTGGCCCTATCAACAGCACTATGTGTAGGTCTCGTACAGCCTGCCTTATCAACAGCACTATGTTTAGGTCTCTCACAGCTGGACCTATCAACAGCACTATGTGTAGGTCTCGTACAGCCTGCCTTATCAACAGCACTATGTTTAGGCTTAGGTCTCTTACAGCTGGACCTATCAACAGCGCTATGTGTAGGTCTCGTACAGCCTGCCTTATCAACAGCACTATGTTTAGGTCCCTTACAGCTGTCCCTATCAACAGCACTATGTGTTGCTCTCGCACTGATTTCCCTATCAGCAGTACTTTTTTTTTGTTAAAAATATTTAAAATAGTATGTAGATTTTTTTGCTGTTGGATTTTTTTTTTTTTTTTAAATTGCGATGGGGCGCCACAATGTGTAAATTACGCCAAAATTATAATGAAGATAAAATTTCTCAATACTTTATGATTTTAGGAAAGTTAACATCAATATATTTCTGTGTTCTTTTAAAAATAAAAATGATCCGAGCAACTGTTTACTAAAAATGTCAATGTGTGGAATACTTTCACATTTTTAATATATTTTTTTTGAGGGCATGAAATATCAAATCTAAAAACTTGGCTATAGCATGGAGAAAGAAGCGCTAAATCCGGGAATCTTTTTTTACGGAAACCTTGGGTCATGTCTTTTAGAACTAGAATAAGAAATATAGTGTAAACATGTGATTAAAAAAGAATATAACTCATCTGCCTGACCTCAACCTGTCTAAATTAAGAGATTGAGAGAGACGCATAGAGAAAGAGAGAGAGAGAGAGAGAGAGAGAGAGAGAGTTAGAGAGAGAAAGACATATAAAAATAGACACAGGGAGATAAACATAGAAATAAGGACAGAGCGTGATAGACTGAGAGAGATAGATAGACATAGGCAGAGAAGGAGACAGAAAGAGTGACAGAGTGAGAGACAGAGAGAAATAGACATAGATAGATAGATGTACAGAGATTGACAGTGAGAGATAGACAGAGAGTGATAGACAGAGCGATGGACAGAGTAAGACAGAGCGAGATAAACAGAGAGAGACAGAGAGACATAGACAGAGAGAGACAGAGAGATATACAGAGATAGTCTGTGAGAGATAGAGAGATAGTGTGTTTTAGAGTGAGTGGGATAGACAGAATGAGAAAGAGTGTGAGAAGGACAACGAGATAGAGCTTAAGAGACAGAGAAAGAGAGGTTGTGCGAGGGCTAAATACATTCAAATTTACGAGAGCTACATACAGTGCTGTTGATGTAGCAGGCTGCGCGAGAGCTACACACTGATGTTGATAAGGAAAGCTAATAGAGAACTACCACAGTGATGTTGATAGGGCAGGCGGTACAGGCGCTATGTCAAACAGTGATGTTGATAGGGCAGGCGGTACAGGCGCTATGTCAAACAGTGATGTTGATAGGGCAGGTGGTACAGGCGCTATGTCAAACAGTGCTGTTGATAGGGCAGGCGGTACAGGCGCTATGTCAAACAGTGCTGTTGATAGGGCAGGCGGTACAGGCGCTATGTCAAACAGTGATGTTGATAGGGCAGGCGGTACAGGCGCTATGTCAAACAGTGATGTTGATAGGGCAGGCGGTACAGGCGCTATGTCAAACAGTGATGTTGATAGGGCAGGCGGTACAGGCGCTATGTCAAACAGTGCTGTTGATAGGGCAGGCGGTACAGGCGCTATGTCAAACAGTGCTGTTGATAGGGCAGGCGGTACAGGCGCTATGTCAAACAGTGCTGTTGATAGGGCAGGCGGTACAGGCGCTATGTCAAACAGTGATGTTGATAGGGCAGGTGGTACAGGTGCTATGTCAAACAGTGATGTTGATAGGGCAGGCGGTTTGCTATGTCAAACAGTGCTGTTGATAGGGCAGGCGGTACAGGTGCTATGTCAAACAGTGATGTTGATAGGGCAGGCGGTACAGGTGCTATGTCAAACAGTGATGTTGATAGGGCAGGCGGTACAGGCGCTATGTCAAACAGTGATGTTGATAGGGCAGGTGGTACAGGTGCTATGTCAAACAGTGATGTTGATAGGGCAGGCGGTTCAGGCGCTATGTCTAACAGTGCTGTTGATAGGGCAGGCTGTACGAGTGCCACATACAGTGCAGTCTATAGGGCAGGCGGTACGAGTGCCACATACAGTGCAGTTGATAGGGCAGGCGGTACGAGTGCCACATACAGTGCAGTTGATAGGGCAAGCGGTACGAGTGCCACATACAGTGCAGTTGATAAGGCAGGCGGTACGGGTGCCACATACAGTGCAGGTGATAGGACAAGGTGTTCAATCTCTTAATGTTATACGTGACATACGTCCTATAATGCATCCTGTGTTTGTACACGGTATCTTGGTGTGATTGAATCTATTGTTCCCATTGTTTCTCTACGATGTTCAGCTACAGTTAAGCCTAATGATGTCGCCATTAAGTGTCGGTCGTTGTCCAACATCAAATCAGATAGGAAGAATGGTGTTAGAGCGATTGAACCCGTTTAAACCTTTGAAGCAAACAAATTTTTACGTTCAAAGACAATAGAGAACATCTATTACAAAAGCATTAAGAATAATTGTATGATCTTAGCTGGAGTGGACCTGTGGGTCTTCAACGTGCAGTGGCGTGCCCTTCACGACCGGCGGGGGGGGGGGGGGGGGGGCGTAGACATTAGGAAGTGTTACCTAGTACGACT